GTGTTGTTTTCTTGAAGTATCGTTGTCTCTGAATGAATTTCAAAACAAGTTCATCAGCGATCACTGAACAAGCTCAGTGTATGATCGCTGGAACTGAAATTACAGATACATAAATACATCGAAAGGAAAAAGGGATTATCAACAAATCAATGAGAGAGAGGATCAACATTAACATTCACTTAAATGAAAATATGTCATTAACGTATTCAGGGCCGGTCCTAAGATTTTTGATGCCCTGTGCGAAAATAATAAAAAATGTCCCTAAGTCTATTTTTTTTAAGTCAATGAAACAACGAAACATGCGATTTTTTAAAGAATTTAAAACCTATTCAAGCTAAGTATCTCATCTTCATGTTGATTTTTATTAATTACAATAAAAAAATACAATGGGGGGACACAAAAACAAAAACAAAAACCCTGAATACAAAATATAAATGATAAATTCTAGATTAAGATCATGCTTCCTTCTCTTCCAATTTTCCTTTTTCCAAATTAAAATTAGCAACATAGAAACTTTATTTCAATATATGAGACTTAAAAGACAAGGAAAACTATAGTTAGTTTTTAACTAAAATAGTAAATCACATCTAAATTACTGTCATAGTAAGCAAAAAGTAAAACTCAAAAGTTACAGGTCTAACGACTAAAGGCTAAGGGCTTATCTGTTAGTAGCTTAATAAGTTTAATGGAACCAACAACTTATTCGTTCAACTATGCATGACTGTTTCATAGTGGCTTAATAATATTGAAGGTGACTTATCCAATAAGCTTCTAGGGGAGCTTTATATAGAAAGCCATGTTTTCTTTCCCAAACATGTCCCTTCCAACTAAAAAAACGCTTCTTACATCTGCGAAAAAACTCTCCCAAACAAAAACTTTTCCAACTTATACAAACAGATTAATTCATACAGACAACTTTATACAAACAAAAACTTTTCCAACTTTTTCCTATGATGTGCATTCAATATTTATCACCACTGGGGCTTGGGTCTGTTTTTATAATTAAAGTTTGGTTGTGCAATTCCTAAATTATTAAACTCAAAACTAGTAATAAATGACAACTTGATGCTCCTTTAGGCTTTGATGTCTGTGCGGCCGCACGGGCTGCACGTGGCCAGGGCCGACCCTGAACGTATTTAACACATTTAAATTCTACTAAAATACATCAATTAAGAGACGTGAGAATTGATTTGGTAAATATTGATCGAGAGAAATGATCGATTAAGGTTAATCAAGTGAGAAAAACGTCGTTGTTAAGAGTTTGAAGAACAATAATAGGCAAATAAGATGTTGGTTTACCTCTTACCAAATAAGAGGACAATAATACATAAATGTCTCTAAAAATTTGAAAAAAACAAAGAGTCTGAACTACATTACCTCTTAACAAATCAGACATTAGAGACTAATAAGAGTTTTTTTATAATAAAAAAAAAACAAGTCCTAAATATCTCTATTTTTATCTAAAACATTAATCATAATGAATAAAATTTGATCATCTTTTATAAATATTCATATCATAACAAATAAATTTTCATAAGTATTCAACATATATATATATAAGTTGAAGTGGATAACTATCTATACTATATTATAAAACATTTGACAATAACTTTTTAAAATTATTTTTTATACACAAAGTACCGTTTATTGATACATATTACTTAAAATTAAATATTACAAGTAAATTGTGCATAAGTACAACTTATTAAAGCTCCATGCCTCCATATTTGAATCTGTATAACTAACTGCAGATGAACATAATCAAATACAGGATAAATATCTTATTTTAAATTTAAAATATAATTAAAAAATCATTGAGTTCTAATAGAATACTTGATTATTATCTTTATAAAAAATTATATTATTAAAACTAAATTAAATTAATTCGTTACTAAACCTAAATTAAATTAAAAAAAATTGAATTAAAGAAATTACACAAAATACAAGAACTTTTAAATAGTCAATTTGATACTAACATCGATATATATTTTTCAAAATTTTATGATATTTTCAAAATTTTATTTTATTCAAAAAATAAAAAAATTATCGTTTTCGTAAAACCATATAAAATCGTATTATATCGACATAAAAAAAAGAACAAAACGAAACATTAAAATCAAAATATATTTCGTTGCATTATACGAGTACCCTTCTGTACTCGGGCTCTAATTTAATTGTAAACTAATGAACATAAGAAATAAAAATTACATAAACCATAACATTGTAAATCAATTAGATCCTTTTGCCATCTCCATTTTTTATCTTTTCGTCTTGAATATTCTTTGTATCTTCAATTTGAATATTTTTATCTTCGTTGCATGAATATTTTTTTAAATTTTTCATCACTTTCAGTCTTTTTTAAGTGATCAAAATGAGCGGTACTTGGTAAAAAAACATCTGATATTATATCTAACAAACGCTCGACTCTGCTTGTGTTGTATGGGTTTAAAGTCGTGGCACACGACAAAACACGGGATTTATTTTTAAAATATTTTATAATTTTTGTTCAGGCTTTTTATTACCCGTTAAGGACCAATTTGAGGTTCACAAGTAATAATCAAAACGAGCTTTTGCCTATAACCAGTTATTAGACCGTAGTTTTTTCAACCGAATGTATGAACTATAAAATGTTTTTCATGATCTTGCACTTGTTCATTGCAGGTTTAATATTTAACATCAATTTTTAGTAAACATATTGCTTTACTGAATTGGTTAACTTATAATATCGCTTTATTAGTTTACCACAGTGTAAATTAGTGTTAACTCTCTAGACCTCTAATCCTTAAAAACTTTTGGTTCATCAGGTGATTAACGTCCGAGGTTTCATCACCAACGAAAGTTAGGATACGGTTAACGATGAATATTTGATAACCATTTATTTAAGAAGGTGGGCATTTTTATAAACTTAAATGAGAGGTTTGGGATTGGACTCCGACATCATCCATCTGGGATATGCAACTTACTTCTCACATGATGGTCGTGAAAAGTGAAAACGGTGCAATGGATGCGCTCCAACGTATGGCATCATGCCCTTTTGCATATCTGAAATGCTACTTTTTGAATGTCAATTATGAAAATAAACGGATATTTGAACTAGGAAGGCTTGTTTATCTTAAAAGAGTTTTTGATTGATATACCGTCCTCAGTAGATTCAATTAACATTGTTTGTTTATTCCGTTTAAAACTATTTTGTGATTAGAGATGTGTATAATAATATGGTTTGTGGTTTGAAAATATGTTTAAATTGTACATGTAATTTGGTTTATGGTTTTGATTCTAAGGAGTTGTTTATTTAAAGTTTAATGAGGTTAATTGTTGTGCGGCTTGTTCACTCAGGGATATGATAATGTTTCTTTACAGCTTAATCGTTAAGCTATAAAGCCAAAATGACTATATGGAATAAGTAAGAACAAATAACACTAGAAATGTTCTAGAAATAATCCAAAAAGGACCAACGCCCTTTGTTTGTCTCACTCGAACGCATCAGTCATCCGTGTCACAGGACTTGATGAGAAAAAACAAGCTCTAAACTGGTCAACACGGGTAAATCCCAATATCCTAGGACTTAAACCCAATATCTTGAATTCTTGATGTGAAAACTCGACCCTTTAACCACAAGGGTGGTGCCTGATTGTTTTGAACTTGGCTTCAAAAATTAAAAGTGCCTACAGGTCCATGTTCAAATCCAAAAAGAAACAAAAATCTCCTTGTGGCCGCGGAGGTTCAAGTGCGGTGGCTCCGGGCTACCTGCAAAGCAGGTGGTCGCCCTGAGATTAGTTGGATCGTATGGCGGGTTGGATATCCAGGTTAATTAAAAAAAAAAAACTCGACCCTTTTAATGATAACCTGTTGAGTTCCGGTGAGAAGGTAAGAAAAGATCGATCAATCCTAATTGAAGATCATACACTAATGATGCATCAGACCAATTCTCTTCTAAAATGCAATTTATGAACAGACATGTAATTAAGGTGATCAAGGATGGAGATCGCTTCTCACTCCAACGTTTTTTCTCACACGATCTTTCTTCTAACAATGGCATATGTTTTATGTTAAAAATCACAGAAACGGCAATTACATATTGATTAAGGACACAAATGAAATATAAAACCATATAATTTTGTATGTATTTGAAGTTATTACCTATCATTTGGTGTTTTCAATGTCACTGAGCTCATCATCAACACCAGAAACATCCATCATTCTAGCAGACGCTTGTTTCGCCCATTTCACGATCTTCTCAGCTTCTCTGTTGATCTTTTCTTCTTCCTTCATTGCCTTTTTCATCATCTTCTTCTGTTCTTTTATAGAAAATGCTTTCAAAAAATCAGCATCATTCCCCCATGATGATGACGACGACTGTCGGTTTTCCTTCCCTTGTTTCCTCGGAACACTCTTTTCCTTCTTCGGAGAGCACCACAAACAACCAATCTTCCGCCGTGGAGGCGACAGAGTTCCAGTGTCCGACTCCGGAGATGACAAACTCCAAGAATCAGACTGAGATTTAGAAGAACCGGTTCCAGATTTGGCTTTCAAATCCTTTTGTTTATAAACCTCAGCGCGTGGACTTGTATCCGATTTCAAATTTGATTTCGATTTCGATTCCAAACCTTTTCTCTCGCATCGATTTCCATCGGATTGCTCTTCTGGACTGTCGTTAGAAGGAGGCGATTCCAAACCCTTTTTTCCATCTGGTATTCGTTCAAAATCAGCAGAACCGCAAAAACCTGGATGTCGTTCGTCTAAATCCACATCGTTGCGGGATCGTGGCCTGAGCGACCTGGATTTCGACGGAGGAAAACGAGAAGCGGCGGGGGAGGCGGTGGTGGTAGGGAGGGACTTAAGCTTTCGGAATCGGGTTTCAAGGTGAGAAGGTAAGTTGTCGGTCGTAGAGAAAGAAGAACAATTGATAGCAGCGAGTTGTTCGAGAACAGAGTGATCCATTGCTTGTTCGAGAACATCTTCAACAGCTCTATCATCGTCACTATCAGTAAGGAAGGAGAAATGATCGGCCATTGTTGAGTTGAAATGAGAGAGAAGGATGGGTGTGTGGCTTTATGGGAGCGTGGATGTGTAAAGGTGATGGTGCAACGGCTAACTCATCATTTTGGCATTTTGTCACACCAATTTCCTGTGTGGCTCCCACCCATCACAATTCTTCCATAAATAATCGATTTTATTAAATAAGCTTTGAATTTATCGACACAAATTTTAGAAAAAAATCTATATTATATTATAAAATATTAATAAAAACTTTTAAATTTTTTTTTTTATATTTGAAGTATGTTTATTGATGCGTATTATTTAAAAATCAAGATTATAAATAAATTTTGTATAAATACAACTTATTAATGTTTAATGTTTGAATTCATGTAACTAACTACAGATAAACATAATCAAATAGAGAATAAACATCTTATTTTAAATATAAAATATAATTAAGATAATCATTAAGTTCTAACAAAATATTTAATTATTTTTATAAAAAAAATATATTATTAAACTAAAAAATAAATTAAAGAAATACAAAAAAAAAGAAATTTTAAAGTTATTTTGGTACTAATATCAATATTTTTTTTCCATTTTTTTGTAACATCGACTGAGACAAAAAAATTAAAATGAAACATTAAAATCGAGATGTATTTCACTTCATTATGCGAGTACCCTTCTAGTATACATTAATACTAGAAGGGTACTCGCGCAATGCAGCGAGATACATCTTGATCTTCATAGTTCATTTTATTTTTATTTCAATCGATGTTATAATATGGTTTTATGTGATTTTGAAAAATCAATGATTTTTTTATTTCTGAATAAAATCTAGGGAAAAGTACAATAAAAACCAATGAACTTTCTTGTTTGGAATGATTAAGTCCTTGAACTTTTTTTTGGAACAAATAAGTCCTTGAACTGTTAGGATTGAAAAATCAGTATTAATTGTATTCGTCTTGAAAGATTAATTTTAGTCTATAATTGTAAAAGTCAGCGTGTTTGACTTTCTTAAACTGGTTTGACTTTGACTTTGTTAGTTAGGTTGACCATATAAATATGGTTTAATCTTTGTAATTAGTAAGAAAAGGAGCTAATTGTAATATTCAGATTAGTAATAAGAGGTTTGACTGAATTGAGAGGATTGACTTTCTCTCTCAATATTCATATGTGTTCATAGTGTTCTTATTGTTAAATCCATGAATCTGCCATTGAAGGAAGCTTAATATGAAGATTGATCAGTGATTGTG